TGTTTAATGATGGTGTTATTGATGGTATCAATCAGGTCTGGCCACTAAGAGAGTTTCGGGTGTGTTTTGGACTTTCTCTCCTCGTCTGTCTTTTATGACGTCTCTGTTCCCGCTCTGCTGTTCGTTCTGTCAGACGGAATGATTAACTGGCTCTAGCTGCTCGGGATTTAAAGAAATATACACCATTCGGTCTGACTGTTACACCATCTGCTCCTCCAAATGCCTCAAACAGACATTGCTCTAAACTCTAGCTTAACACAGCGGCTAAACTAAACTAAAGTAACTGCTAAGACATTATACGGCCAATCAATGGCTGCTGGAGTGGCATAGATTATTCCTCAACTGAGTTCATATGCAGCCAAGAAGAATATTCAGTCATTTGTGTACACTCAAGTCACTTCTTCTGTGGTAAGAAAATAATGTATTACTAGTGTATATACACTTCTGTTCAAAAGTTTGGGGTCAGTAAGATTTTTGTTAATGTTTTTAAAAGAAGTCTCTTTTGCTCATCAAGGCTGCATTTTTTTGATTAAAAATAAAGTAAAAACTGAAATATTGTGAAATATTATTACAATTTTAAATAACTGTTTTCTATTTGAATATTCCTGTGAGGCAAAGCTGAATTTTCAGCATCATTACTCCAGTCTTCAGTGTCACATGATCCTTCAGAAATCATGCTGATTTGCTGATATTTAGTTCATAAAAAACAATAAATGTCTTTACTGTCAGTTTTGATCAAATGAATTCATCCTTGATGAATAAAAATATTAGTTTCTTTCAAAAAAAAATGTAAACAAACAAATATTTGAAATTTTAAATGCTGAATAAAAAAAGAAATAAAAGAAAAACAAATATTTGAAATTTTAAATGCTGAATTAAAAAAGAAATAAAAGAAAAACTAATATTTGAAATTTTAAATTGTTTTATATATATATATATATATATATATATAACACAATTAAAAATTTCAAATATATGTATAACATCATTAGTCTTCAGTGTCACATGATCCTTCAGAAATCATTCTAATTTGCTGATATTTAGTTCATAAAAAACAATAAATGTCTTTACTGTCAGTTTTGATCAAATGAATTCATCCTTGATGAATAAAAATATTAGTTTCTTTCAAAAAAAAATTTAAACAAACAAATATTTGAAATTTTAAATGCTGAATAAAAAAAGAAATAAAAGAAAAACAAATATTTGACATTTTTAATTGTTTTATATATATATATAACACAATTAAAAATTTCAAATATATGTATACAAATTTCAAATATATATATAAAACACAATTAAAAATAATTATATATAACAATTAAAAATGTCAAAAAATTACCCCATTCAGTGACCTGCGACTAGATGTTTGATTCACCAAGAACTTTGATTCGAAGAAATCAGTCTGATAAATCAACAAGTTCAACTGATTCATTTTAAAAGAACCAAAGATTCGTTTGAGTTTAGCTCACTGGGTGAAGTTGGATATATTTTTCTCTCTGGGTAATGATTTGGTCTAAATGCTAAAAGCTAAATATGAATGTCATTGAGATTCCTGGACTGTGCATCTAGCAAACGATCCCACAATCACTTGTTTGCACAGATCATAAAGTTAATTGTGAACACCAAAAAAGTGGCAAGTAAACCAGATTAAACTGAAACAAATTGGCGTTCCCATAGAAGCCGTAACATTTGAGGAATTAGAGCATATGAGAAGGATTTAAAGATCAGTAGGTCTTATTAAAAGCTCTGCTGAAATCCCACTTACACAATGATGTGGCTATGCTTCAGTTTTTCACTCGTACTTTGCTACATGAGTCAATTTTCCTGCTTGTCACTGTGTATTTAGTGTAGTATCTAAACTAATAGTCATGTCGCTATTGAGTTGAGCTCAAGAACTAGGGTTCAGTGACCGTCCCAAGCACCCAATAAACCACTTCCGGCGTCAGATTGCACGTGACCTTTGACCTCAGGAAGCGTTTGTGGGAGTCTGCAGCTGTCAGACCAACACCTCGTTTCCTCTTTGATTGATCACGTCTGTAAAATCGCCGCAGCTTCTGTGTCGTGTGTGTTAATGGCAGGAGAAAGTGTTCAGGAAATGCGAGTATCGTTCCTGTCTCGTGTCATTTGTCCCGTCTCTGAATAGGTAAACACGGTGCAAGGGCTGCTGGGAGCTCGTGCGTCAGTCACTTACACACCTTTATTGCTTGTATTTACTTTAGCTTCATGGCATTCCTCTGCCCGGGTCTCATGATTTTCCGTATCATAAACCGTAATAAACAAATCCCTCAGTGTGTGTGAGTGTATGTGCACATATACACACACATTCAGATCAGACTCTCAATAGGTAACATATTTTGTGGTTGTGGTTTGTAGTTGTACTGTAATATTTCTCCCCAAAATCTATATTTTTTATTATTATTATTTTATTTTGTATTTTTTAATAGAATAGTTACGATTTGTTTTCATTGTGACATTTAATTCATGACAATTAAGCACATTTATTCCAAAGTTCACATTATCAAAATGTATTTAGATGTTTTGTATTTTTCATTATTGTGAATGTGATTCTCATTATGTAAAAATGTTAGTATGTAAAAAATGACAGATTTTAATGTTTCTATCAGCATAAAAAATACAATAAATACCTAAATATTATTTGTATGATTATTGCTCTTAATGATAATGCATATTATATTAATTATAATTTATTTGATTTAATTTTATTAGCATTATATACTGTATGTATATATATTACTTTTTAAACTATTGAAATATATATATATGTGTGTGTGTGTGTGTGTGTGTGTATATATATATTTATTATAATAGTTAAAAAAGTAATTATATATATATACAGTGGGTACGGAAAGTATTCAGACCCCCTTAAATTTTTCACTCTTTGTTATATTGCAGCCATTTGCTAAAATCATTTAAGTTAATTTTTTTCCTCATTAATGTACACACAGCACCCCATATTGACAGAAAAACACAGAATTGTTGACATTTTTGCAGATGTATTAAAAAAGAAAAACTGAAATATCACATGGTCCTAAGTATTCAGACCCTTTGCTCAGTATATAGTAGAAGCACCCTTTTGATCTAATAAAGCCATGAGTCTTTTTGGGAAAGATCCAACAAGTTTTTCACACCTGGATTTGAGGATCCTCTGCCATTCCTCCTTGCAGATCCTCTCCAGTCAGTACATTTTTACCTAATGAAAAAAATACAGTATTTAGAGTGTTTTTTAAAATTTAAATCACCATAAATTAAATGCAATGGAATAAATTTGACCTAAATATATTATTTAGTTATTTATTTATTTATTATTTATGAATTAAAAAAATATATATAAAAACCGTAATTATATATTTCTTCTTTTTTGCATTGCAGTCATGAGGAAAAATATACTTGATTATTATATCACAATGCAAAAAATATAGGGTTTGTTTTCTTGAAGCACAATATGTATCCTCTTTCTTTTAATTCGGGGGTGAAATATGACCATAAATGTTTTTAAAGAGTCATTCAACATAATGTACCATCACTTGATGAGCATCTGTTGAATACATCTCGATTTCTATTTCCCGTTTGTGTTCCACTAGGGATGAATCAACTTTATCTAGTTTGAAATCAAATGCAGCCAGTAGATGCGCTGCCAGAAAGCTGACTGTCAAATGCTCGAGGGTGTGTGAGGGGTTATTATAAACCGACAGATTATAGTGCATTCGGCTCATGTTTAACATGTATTAATCACTAGAAGATAACAAAACCAATCCAACCAGGTTACATGACCACCTGGCCTTTTCTTATCATTCTAAAGAACAGAGGAAATGAACTAGGGATAAATGAGGTCTATACTGTGAATTCTTAATGCAAGCTTCTATGAAATGTTTGTGTAGCGTGAATTATGAGATACATTCATGGAGATCAGAGACCAGCTGTTAAACTAATACCACTGAACTCACAGGTATAAAAGTGTCAGAGACAAACTAAAACAAAAGAGTAGGAAGTGACCATATTTATATGATGTCTCACTAGTTGTTAAAAATTAAAAATCTTGTTCAGCCTATATGATATACACTACCGATCAAATACTTTTGTTTTTTTTGGAAAAGATAGATAATAGACATTACCAAAATCTTATTTTTATTGTTATTACTATTTATAATAATAATGCATATTATATGATATTATATTATATTATGTTATTTTTATAACATATAATTAACATTATATATAAATTATTGATATATATTATTTTTACCTGTGTATCTGTGACTGGATTAATGGATGAAAAATCAGTTGTGCATCACAGGAATAAATGACATTTTAAAACGTATCAGAATAGAAAACAGTTATTTTTAAATTGTAAGAATATTTCAAGATTTTGCTGTTTTTACTGTATTTTTGATGAAATAAATGCAGCCTTGGTGAGCTGCTTTAAAAACAAAACAGACTTTTGATCCACATTGGTCAACCACCATCAATAGAGGTTATTTTTTATGACATGCTTTATTTGGATAGCATGTTATTATTTAATATCAATAATGATTTATGAGTAGTTTTTATCATAAGCAAACCTTCAACCACCATATTAGTAAGATGTGAATGGTTGCCATGTAGTTGCAGTATGGTTGCTAAGGTGTTTTGAGTGCTACAGTATGTGCATTTTTGATTGGTTCAAGTCAAACGAGTCGATCTCGAGTCACCCAATGCATCCCGTCTTCAGTGTGAGACATGTGATGACTTGATTAGAAACCAGACTGGTTCAGGCTTACATGCTTAATAAACAAGTAAAGATAAAAGTCAAGGTTAAAACACAAGTGACTGAGCTTCTTCAGAAGAAACGCTGTTCTGAGAAACGTGCGGGTGCAAGGCGAGATTAAACATGTTCGCTCTTTCTAGACAAAACCTGGTTGATTCTGGTTTTGTATTTTGACTTTGTCTACAAAAATACTTTTGTGTCTGACTTTGCCTTTCTCTGTTTTTGTCTTTTTCAGAATGGAGGATGAAGCCATAGTGGACAGGGGGGCGTCTTACATCAAAAACATGTGTGATGAAGAGGTCGAGGGTACGAAACACACACACACATAAATATATAGTGGGAAATTGGATCTCCTGTGTCACAGTGACGACTGCGGATCTCTGAGAGTCTTAGTTACTGTGGATTGAGTTTTCACTTTCACTCACTCCTGTCTCTCTCTCTCTTCTCTCGGCCAGCTGTTTTTTTTTTTTGTTGTTGTTGTTGTTGTTTTTTTTTATTCTTGCATTGCTAGTAATTTGTGTTTAAGGGCAGGAGAGGATTATGAGTGCTGCAGATGTAACAAACCAAAGCTCTACACGTGAAGATGTTTACTGTCTTAATCCACACACACACACACACACACTGAATCGATTTCTACATTCAGGAGGAATTGACTAAAGATGTGCGCCACATTAGCGAACTGCATTTCAGTGCAAAACCCTTTATCGTTTTTCTATTACTGCCGCCAAACCACCTCAAGTGAAATGTGCACTGGTGTAGCACTGCAGAGTGTGCATATTTAGTGGCATTTTATGATGATGATATTTAAAATTATGATTATAAAAACAAAACTAGTAAATTAATTGATGCTTTTACAAAGATTAGTAGTCTAAATGTATTTTTCTGGTGCAAGAAGTAGGAAATCTACACAACACACCCGATAATATATATATATATATATATATATATATATTCGTGGAACATGAAGAAATAAAATATTCTTGACAAAACCTATGTAAAATACCATGATGAATCAAAATATAAGGTTCTATAATATTTATATATAAATACTGTAGAATATATAAATGTAACATTATAAAATTATATAAAAAGTATAAAACAATACACATATAAAATGTATCTAATACACACCAGATATTTGATACAATATTTGGTTGAAATTCTTACTATATTATTATTTTTATTATTATTATTTTAAAATATTAAAAAATTCCCACCCTGTAGAGTCAATTTCTGTTTTTGTCTTTTTCAGAATGGAGGATGAAGCCATAGTGGACAGGGGGGCGTCTTACATCAAAAACATGTGTGATGAAGAGGTCGAGGGTACGAAACACACACACACATAAATATATAGTGGGAAATTGGATCTCCTGTGTCACAGTGACGACTGCGGATCTCTGAGAGTCTTAGTTACTGTGGATTGAGTTTTCACTTTCACTCACTCCTGTCTCTCTCTCTCTTCTCTCGGCCAGCTGTTTTTTTTTTTTGTTGTTGTTGTTGTTTTTTTTTATTCTTGCATTGCTAGTAATTTGTGTTTAAGGGCAGGAGAGGATTATGAGTGCTGCAGATGTAACAAACCAAAGCTCTACACGTGAAGATGTTTACTGTCTTAATCCACACACACACACACACACACTGAATCGATTTCTACATTCAGGAGGAATTGACTAAAGATGTGCGCCACATTAGCGAACTGCATTTCAGTGCAAAACCCTTTATCGTTTTTCTATTACTGCCGCCAAACCACCTCAAGTGAAATGTGCACTGGTGTAGCACTGCAGAGTGTGCATATTTAGTGGCATTTTATGATGATGATATTTAAAATTATGATTATAAAAACAAAACTAGTAAATTAATTGATGCTTTTACAAAGATTAGTAGTCTAAATGTATTTTTCTGGTGCAAGAAGTAGGAAATCTACACAACACACCCGATAATATATATATATATATATATATATATATATTCGTGGAACATGAAGAAATAAAATATTCTTGACAAAACCTATGTAAAATACCATGATGAATCAAAATATAAGGTTCTATAATATTTATATATAAATACTGTAGAATATATAAATGTAACATTATAAAATTATATAAAAAGTATAAAACAATACACATATAAAATGTATCTAATACACACCAGATATTTGATACAATATTTGGTTGAAATTCTTACTATATTATTATTTTTATTATTATTATTTTAAAATATTAAAAAATTCCCACCCTGTAGAGTCAATTTAGCCATTTTTTAAATTTATTCTAGGATTAAATTTAATTATTGTTCTGACTCTTTCCATGCAATGCTAATAATATAGAAATGAAATAGAAATGCTAATAATAATTTAACAATTTTAATTTTCTTAATTGAATACAGTACTTAAAATGATATA